TCAAAAGTTGCATTGCATAAATACTTAGTGCGACCAAAATCCTAACACAATAATGTGGAGATTGAATCTCGTTTGTGACGTGGACGCGATGCCACTTTAGAGAATATTTTGAAGATTACTCAGTATATCTGAAGGAATGAACTGATATTCATTCTTATAGACTATACTTATTTAACATGCATACTATGAAACAATAAATGTTTTAATTTGTAGATCATACCTGTATAAATTGCATGTGCCTGCCATTGCAGAAATATATTATTATTATAGAGTTGGGTAGAGAACGCTGGTGGTTGGCGTACGCTACTCTATGAGAGGTAACAAATATAGGTAAGTTTAACGGGTGCTGACTGTTGAGGGCACTGTTTCCATAGTTTGGAGTGTTTGCGACAGGCGTATAATTGCTGCTACATCTGGTTGACTTAGTCACTTTTGTTAATCCGTTGATCCGTCTGTCCAGTGATACACAGGAGAGAGCTTGTCTCGATTCAGATTAAGGCCTCGACAGGGTGGGTTCGCAGAATTATGGTCTGCTTCGGTATTGATACATTAATCTTTGTTATTATTATAATAGACCTAACCTCAAAACTTTAGGTTTGTCACGATGTAAAAACGTAATCTATAAGATCTTACGTGAAAGTCACATCATTGTCTATCCGGACTTGTCGTATCGTGACACTCAGTAGAACGATGTTTGACACTTCTGAAGAATATATTCAGTCTGGGAATAGAATAATACATTTTAATGTGAATTGTGAATTACTGAGCAGATGACCACACCTGTAAGACTGAGCCATGCCATACCGATCAACTGCTCCCGCGTCCACCATCTTGGGCCTGCCCTGGGTGTTGCATGTTGAATGTAAATCTCAGTAATTATATGCTCAGCTTCAAAATTGTGCTGTTAAGATTCGATACCACCACAGGTTTACTGATTCAGCCTTAATATTAAAAATGCGTGAGTTAGACTCACGACTAAACTGCCTCATGGCGAAAAGAAAATTTTTTTTCTATTACCTGATTGATTGACAAGCGAGGGAGATGAGTCGTCTAGAATACAACGTCATTTATTCCCGATTCCCCGCTACCCTCTATCAATATGTCAAGCAAATTACTTGGCGACAAGTTATTAAGGCAGACATTTGAAAGATCCATCCACAAGGCTGACTGAGATCCTTAGTTATACAGAGTTATCATATGAAACGGGTACAGCTGAAGCCGTACCGGTTTAATCCTGTTCTAATAAATACACCCGTCCCTCTGAGGCCGGAATGAGTTTTTGTGATCTTTGGAGGGTGGATTATCGCCTAAAGCATCTTCTCGAAAGCCTCCGCAACACTTGATGATAACAGAAATGAGCAATTCGTTAGGTCTCGTCGCATATTTGTGTACAGTTGAGTCAAACGGCACACAAATGTATACCATTCACTTGATTTGGAAGTGAAGACAGTTGTACAGTGCATAGTTGTGTAGAGTACCATCTAATTTATTGTAATTTCAAGTGGAATGATGTTACACCATGAATAATCAGGTTTTATTCTTTGAGAGCGATATATCATCTATAAAGCAAAGTACGGAAAGAGTAAAGGACGGAAAAAGAATCATTTATTCTGGCAGTGGTGAGGGCGACATAACAAATAAACGCGTAGCAAAGCAATGAAATGTCGCTAATTATTAAAATCTAAAAAGCAACTTGAACTAGATCGATCATGATATAATACACGACTATATGCACTTTATTGTTTTACACGTGAACTGAGAAGGAAGCCTTGGTTTTGAAAAGTTTAGACACATTTGTCAATGACATTATGTAAGCAACATGTACCATGTAGAAAAGATTCGAATGAAGTGTAGAGAATGTTATGAGTACTTTATTCTCACATTGATACTAGACACATTAATTAAATCAAAGAGTTTTATATTACTTCCAAAACAGTCTGAAACTATGCAAATCACAAATATAGGAAGAAAATTATATATTAACCACTTAACAACAGTTGTACTATGAAATACTTGAAGTAAAATCCTAGGTGACAGGAAATCTTCAGTCTAAAAAGGTCTTAAGGAATTCAGAAGACGACAAATACAATTTCAAAGGCTTTTTTATTCTTCAAGTCTAGGGATTTATCAAACGTAACAAACTTAAAACGTGAGATAATTTTCGAGACAAATAAATCCATTTCAGTTTCACTTTCGAAAGGACAGGAGGCTTAATGGCCTGTATTAACCCTGGCAGTTACGGTTATTCAGTTGATCCAGCTTTCTTTTGAAAGAGTCGACGGATAAGGCCTCAGCCACGTGCTGAGGTAATAAATTCCACTAGTTGATGATTTGATGGGAAATTCGATAGTCAGGTGACGAGTAATTTGTTCCGGGACTGTGAACCTTTTTGGAGTGTCCTCGTAAATTCTCTATTTTGAAAGGCAAGATAAATGAGGGCATATCAGGTGCAAATTTATCACAAAGCAATTTGAAAACTGTAATCAAGTCACCTATAGTTGTTCGATATGATAACAGGAATAGGTTTAGCTTGGCTAGTCGAGTATCATACATGAGCTTCGCTATTCCGGGAATCAGCTTAGTCGCCGTTCTCTGAACCTTTTCCAGAAGCTCACTGTCTTTTTTTAAACAGGGGCTAGCCGCTTGTATGCAGTACTCAAGTTTAGGACGTACGAACACTGTATACAAAGTTAAAAACGTTTTAGCGTCGAGATGACTAAAAGCTCTACGTATTGACCATAACGTTCTAAAACCTTTGGCGGCTATTGCACGGCAGTGTGCAGTAGTCTTTAAGTCTTGACTAACGATAACTCCTAAGTCACTATATGTCTGGACGACAGGTAGCTCAGTGTTATTCATCGTGTATGTATCTGTACCTTGATGACTGGTATGCATCACAACACACTTGGAAGTATTTATCGGCAACTGCCAGGTTTGAGACCATTCAGATAACTTCTTCAGGTCACTTTGAAGTTCTAAGCTATTACTCCTACATCGTATCGTTCTCCATATCTTGACATCGTCAGCATATAGCAAGACCGATGATGATAGGAGACAAGGAAGGTCATTTACATACAAGAGGAATAGCACTGGCCCCAAAACTGTACCCTGGGGCACTCCACTAAGCACAGTTTCCCAGCTAGATAACTTTGAGTTCACCCTTACTCTTTGTTGACGCCCGACTAAGAAGTCTTTTATCCACATCAATAAATTACCTCCAATCCCGACATGTCTTAACTTATATAACAGCCGGTTGTGCGGAACCTTGTCAAAAGCTTTGCTGAAATCAATGAAGGCTACGTCTACAGGTAACTTTTGGTCCTTGAGAGCACACCAGCTTTCACGAGCCACTAACAAGTTAGTGAGACAAGAATAACCTATTCTGAAGCCGTGCTGCTTCTCCGAGAGGATCCGGTTTTTATCGAGATACTTAAACAGCTCCTTCCGAATAATCTTTTCTAAGATTTTACCAACCACACTAGTTAGGCTAACGGGGCGGTAGTTCTCAGGTTTGTGTTTCGTGCCTGTTTTGAAGACAGGACTTACTATGGCGTTTGTCCAATCTTTCGGTAAGCGACCCTGCGTAACGTATAGGTTAAAGCATATACTTAAAGGGTTCGCTACGAAGTTAGATAATTCATTCAGTAGCCTAGGATGTAATTTATCGGGCCCAGTGGATTTACCTATGTCGAGCTTATTTAGTAGACCAAAGACATCGAGTTCTTTAATGGTCACGCTGTCCAGTGTTTGTGTGTGGGGATTTGTAATGAAGCCTCACAACCCGAAAATTGACAATTTTTAGGTCTTTTCGCCAGATTTCAACCAAAGTTGTGGTTCTTTTTTGGCTTCCCGCCTTTTTTCTTGGTCTGCCAACGGCAATTCCTTACGGATGAAAACCCCTGAACCCTTTAATTTATGTCGATTTTGTAAAATTAAGTCCCGTTCATTTGCCGATTTTAATACTACATCAAGCAGCCCGGTTTGATTAGGTTTTAAGTTCACTTGACTACCTAGTCTATACACCTTTAACAAGGTGACTCCGGAGATATTTTCAGGCTTAAGTTAACTTGGTATCTGTTTTATCAGCCCAAAGTCATGCTCAATTGGAGCAATTGCAGCAATGAGATTATCTCGAGTAGCAAGCTGTTTGCGTCCGAACAGCACTGCTGAAAAGTCCATAAGCGACCGTTTTTACCGAATCGTTTAAAAGCTGCAGGCGTCAAATTCGTGCAAACTCCATGGTACTAGCCTTTGCACTCATCGCACTGCATGCAGCTTTCAATGGGATATCGACAGCTCGGACGTTGGCAATTGTTTATTTGCACTGCTTAGTCATCAAACAGAGGTCCTGTTTCTAAAAAATAGATACAATAGTACTCAAAAGCAAAAATGAACTATGACCAAAAAAATGAAAAACTGTAAATTGTTAGGACCAAAATTACTAACAAATACAATAGAAAACAAAATACTCAAAAGTACCGACAATAAACTACTTCAGAAACATAAATGATACTCTAATCGAATACTTTAACTGAACTAAATTCAATCAAAGTGTAAACAGTAGTCTCGCTATGTAATAAACGATCAATACAATAAAATTTACTAAGCGAGGAAAAATACCACTGCCCTCTTAAATAACGCGCGTGTCGTTGTATTGCATAATTTGAAAGCCGTTTAAAATGTATCAAAAGCAACTTTAAAGAAACATATGCATAAGATTCAACTTAGCACAATAAACCTCAAAATGACTGAAAGTTTTTGGCTTCGTTTCTTGAAGACCGAGTGTCACACACACCAGTTGAAGTTCCCTGATTAATGCTTCGTTGGACACCAAACACGACTTTTTTATTGTTATTTCGGATTTATTTCGCCCTAAATAACTTAACTTCTAACTGATATTATTTCTAAATACTAATGCATCTGATCAAACATCAGGTTATACTTTAGTAGTGTTTGTTTGTACCAGTCATCAGTGAGCGAGATTTGGTCTTTCTCCGAAGATGGCGTCGTCCTCCTCAGCTGAGGGCATGTCCATCACTAAGGGAGGAAGTATATTAGTAAAAGTTGAAGATCTCACTGGAGAATTGATTTCTGTCAAGCTTATAGATGGGGATAAAATCTTCCGTGGAATTTTACTGCAAGAAACTATTGGGTAGGGTTGTTTGAACGGTTTTTCGAAACGTACTATTTATTGTCCCTCTCAAGATTAACTGAAGCTTATGAAAGTTGATATTGTGCAATAGTTCGCAATTTTCTTCTGCTTTTTAAACACCGATATAAGCTAAAGATCTGGCTAGACAAACTTAATAATTCAATTTCGAAATTTACATGAGTCACATGTTTAGTTTGTCTTCACATATTCTCTGACTTTGGGAAAACACCCTCTAGTTAACCTTATTGTAGCTTCTCGAGATTCACATTTTCACAGCATTGATGTCATACAGTCATTCCTAATGGTATTTCTCTCGGAATGCTTATTTGTTTCACTCATGTAGTCACCTAAAGATCAGATTTCAAGAAGTTCCCTTGTCAGTTAGTCTTGTGAAGATGAGTTACTCGCTTACCGCTATACAACGTTCTTTCTGACTTCCATTTAAACCTATAAAAAGCGTCGGGAGTGAGTTTTCTAATCACCATAATGCCTATATATTAAAAATGCTTGTCATTGATGAAGTGCTCACCGCGCTAAGTATATTCCGTTTGCTGTCTTGCGGCCTGATGAAGTCTGGTTTCTGTCGAAATGGTTGCTCAGTAAGATTTTTTTACGTTTACATTATCTATTTAATGTTTTGGTTGGTCCAGACAACTGCTTCAAACTTAGTAGGTTTAAATACACACTCCTCGGAATTCTTAGTGATGTATGGTAGAATGCCTAAAAAAATAAAAAGGATACTAAAGTATAGCATTGGTTTTTATCCGTATAGGGAGTATGTTAATAGAGCAAATGATACTCGGGTAATACAGTCCGCTCTTAATCAGTTGGCAATTGGTGTTCGTAGGTATGGCATGCACCTTGCACCTTCCGGGTGAAAGTACGTCTTGAAGACTGGAAAGACCCTGAAATTGAAAAGTTCGCGTATATGGGTAGCTGCGTAAGTGCTAGTGGTGGCGTGAGTGATGACATCCATTCATGTATAGTGAAAGCCAGAGCGTCTCAAGCCAATCTGAGCCATCTTCGGCACCTTCATGATGTTAGTCTGATTGTTAAAAGTTGGGTCTGAAACGCGTTGGTGACAATTTTGCTTTATGCTTGCGTAACTCCACTTCTCCGAGTTGGGAATGTTCGACGACTCCGTGCCTGGTCGTTGTCCATGAAGGACTGCTGACATTCAGCGACGTCATGTTAGTAGTGCAGAGGTTCGGCAGTGTGCGTTCGGGCACAGTTGGGACAATTTGATTGATATCACTATCTTGTAACATCGAATCCGGTGTCTTGGGGATGTCGTCCCAGAAAATCCCACGTCGTGCATTATTTGTCAACGCTGGGACACGATTTTGTTGGTCCTTCATAATTCCCTTGAAATGAAAGCAAGTTTGGATCTTGCTGTAACTTTCTTTTACTTCATAAAAGTGAACATAACTTCCTTAACTGAGAGGATTATTTCTGGTTGTATTTTTGCTAACTGGATTGCTTCCCCGATTATTATTTCACTCCCATACACTATTTTTTTTCGATTGTCGCTGTTTTTGTTGTACTCATCTTCCGTCCTCTATCTCCACAACCTCATCGTTATTGTGTGGTGCAGTATCACAGCCCACACGCAAATCAAGTGACTTGAGTGACGCATATGTATTCGGTGCCCCTTTGTACCAATATTTATATGTTCAAATAAGTAAGGAAATCTGCCACGTTAACCGACTATGTATGGAATATCAAAAATGGTGGTAAACCACCTGGTGTAAGCATACGCTTTCATCGATTGAGGTATTTTAAGCGCATTACATATAATTAGCTTGTGGTTGTATCCCAGTGTTATGCATACGCATCTTAGAATTTCAGTGGTAAACTAAACGAGGTAGCATTTTCGTTGGACTGTTCAGCGCCATATGTGACTAATGCAACTCATATGAATAAAGCGGATTGAGTGCATGGAGTAACCTTAAAAGTTACGAATTTTTACGTCTTGAAATCCTTAAGTCAAATTACATTTCACCAGAGCGTATCACAAATATATAAACTAGAGTCTGTAGCTCATTGAACTTCAATTATCAAATCTCCTACCTTTTATTCTGCGGATCCACTCTTGAATCATATTGTCTACACTTGATTTTCCATACTACCACATAATATTACTACTACTCTAGCTTGTCTTGATAATTCCATCCCACTGTGCTGATACGGTCTGGTGACTAATGCATGTGTGTGCCAGGGCCTACGCTGCCCGTTATTGATTAACTGTCAGGTCTTAAGTCTGCTGTTATTTTTCTATTCATATCGCTCAGCGCCTCCGATTTTCACTATTTGATGCGTGTTATACAAGCCTGTACTTGTCTGCTAAGTTTTGTTAGTCTGATTTAATAAGGTGATAGACGACAAATCAATTGGTAGATTATGCAACCGTCTAATTACTAGTTTAGTATTGTTCACATCTGAAGTGGAAACGTCTTGTCAAGTAATCGGTTCACATTTTAGTCTCTACGTAGACCGGTGTTAAAACCTATTGTGGATAGTAGTATTGGTAGTTGTAATACTTTCACAACTGTTTTCTCTTTATACTTTCAGGATGTATAAAAAAGAAAAGTTTTGCGTATTATTTCTTGTCCTCTTTCACTTAACTTTTGCTTATCATGGGGCGGTGACTTAGTGATTAAAACCAACTCTTAGCCTTTCCCAGGTTCAGATCTCGCTTCAACTACTTCATTCTGGGCAACCGTGGAGTATCACTAGTCCCCACGTTTAGGATGTGACTCATGCCTTTGTACCTGGTAAATAAGTTAATTTTGATTGACTATTCTTTTACCATTTGGTTGTTGGTTGCTCTTCTACACTATATGTAATTGCTACTTTTATATTCTGCTGCTTTTGTCAACCTAAGTTAGTTTCCATCTTTTAATCAATAAAGAGATAAATCTGATCAGCTGTTTGCTGTTGAGAGAGGTTTATCATTGTCAACTCCTGTTGTGTTACTGATGGTTTTAGTTTTTACCAAACATTGAGTGTTTTATTTTGGTCCATGACTCTTAGGTAGGATTTGACTAATGGCGTTAAGCTTTTGTTAGTCTATTAGTGTCTAGCTATCACATCAGGTGACTTCATTGAGGGCTGTACCATGACATCGAGTTGCCTTAATTTTCTCAGCCGGTCATTCTGTCCTGTAGTTTACCACGCATGTTAGCATTATAAAAAGTCGAAGAAAAATGATGATTCCATTAAAGAAACAACTGTGCGGCAAAAAACTTTCTAAAAAGTACTGACATTGCCTTTATGGTAATTTCCATATCTTATGTGTTTTCTCTAAATCAATTGTTAAATAACGTAGCTCAAGTTATCGAAGGACATTTTGTCGTACACATCACAGTTGTCGAGTGGTTGAAGCACCTAGTACGCCTCCTTACCATCAACGTATCAATAAAAAGACTCTTATTACCGCATATTTCAAGTATGTAGTAGCTTGAATATAATTGGTTGTAATTCGAGAAATATTGTTATTGTAACGAGCCTTTAGCCATCCTATATATATATATATAAATATATATAAATATATATATATATATATATATATATATATATATATTGAGCAATATAGACCATGGTGCGTGTATCAGCTCAAGTTGCCACACTATATCATCACAGCAAGGTGATATTATCAAGACGAATGCTGCTGTAGTATAAACTGTAGCAATGTCAGTAGTAGTAAGAAAAACGGTATGATAAAGAAAAAAATTTGTGGACTAAAAGTGTGGGTATTTTAAGGTAAAAAGACTGAGTGTGTCTGTGCTAATTACCAGCCATTTCATCCACCACGTATATTCCGAACGCTGCTAAATAAATATTGGTCTTCTGTTATCTGAGAAAAAAATAGTTCTGATTTCTTGAACACTTTACCGTCGCTGTTATTCAAGTAATATTGGGTATATTAACGCTTCTTTCTTTCACTGTTGGATTTTGAGAATAAATATCTATTTAACTCGGGTTAATATCATTTTGCCTTATTTACCTTTTAGTTATCATGTTGTAGGTATCATAATAGCATAGAAATGTCCTATGAAAGTCGTAAGACATCTTAGGTATTTAAAATTTTAATCTAATCACTACCATTATCCATATCTTAGAAATGATGGTACGATGAGTTAATCTACTTTGGTAATATTTATTCTCACTATATAACTTTTTCGTATCAAGGATAGATTTGTGTACGTAGTTTTGAATCCCAATTTATCTTGAGAGTTAGGGATGCTACTCGACTGACTAAACCGAACTAAATAGAGCAGGATTTGTACGTAGGAGTAGTTGGTTGAAAGTCAGTTCACTTTCGTGATTAATCCATCTCTCCAAGATAATTTCAAAAGCCCTGTGTTATTCGAAGACACCAATGAGTATAATTGGTAAGAATATAGAAGTTTTAGCGTAGAAATACGAAAATAACCAGTTCACAGTCATTCTACGACATCGTAGTCAAACGAAGGGTGAATAAAACTAACATTGGTGATTAATTATTAAGTGATACCCGATGCCATGTTTGTTTAGTTTTTAGTGTTTATCGACCAAGCTACAATGTGGTCACTATTCTTAGTAATTCGATGTCATATGTACTATGCTTTGATATTAAGTGGGTACTTGTGCTTCTTACCAATGACTTACAACTAATTACCTGATTCTTTTACATCACCCTATTCTCAATTTGTGTAGGTCTTTTTAATTCACCACTTCTTGTAATAGCGTTTATTTAGTCTAAACATGTACCTTTCTAGAGTAGCTGCAAAATTTCAATTCTGCTGGATGAAATCAACGAGGAAAATAAAGGACAAGCACTTAATAGTTACTAACAAAGAAAGTAAAGTAAGACTTGAGAATCAAAGAGTATAGCACAATAAGGTTTCCGAAATTTGCAAGAAAGTGATAGTCACACCTATTTGCTCACCAATTTTGATTTTAAGTTGTTTCGTCTTGTATCCGATCAATAACTATTTCGTGGACCTGGTAATTAGTATATGTATTTATTGATGTGATCAAAAGGTTTATAACTTGGTTTGATTGTTTTTCTGCTACCACTAATAAATATGAGATTCTATATACAGAAGTTTACAGTATAGTATATATTGTCTCTGCGACTGAAAGTATTACTACAAATTCAGTCTGTTGCGTTGCATTAGTCAGCGAGAATAATCCTAAACTTAATGTCCCACTTTTTTTCCAAAGAACCTTTTGCTAGGCGTTGACTCTACATTCCATCCCCGACTGTTCAATTCAAATCATAACTGACAATTGTGTTAAATAAAAAATCGATTACAATTATGGTCTAATCTTATTTCTATCAATCATTTCAAAACATTGGTCGATTTCAAATCCAACTTGAGCAAATATGATTCATATTCAATAAACTTCTCATTTCATTGTATTGACCGTGTATATTTTCTTGAAGGTCGAATTTATTTCCGTTAAGATAAATTCCATTTAATCCTGCTATTAGATTGGAGGAAATTGTCACTCCAGTTTACTCTTGATGTATCTTCTAGTCTTGACACAGTTTTTGTAAGTATTCCATATACAATGATTTAAAAAGATGTTGACTTCCTGAATCTTCATACGTTATTTTTGCTAAAAACTAGTGCTTATCATGACCAGTTTATTCACCAATCTGTATTAGATAAGCCATGTACCTCAATAATCTGTTAAATCTTTATGATAATATGAATGTACTGATTTGTTTTGTTTCTGGAAATGATGAAATTGGTTAAATTTATTGTTCCCTTAGTATTATGGAGATCCAGCTTTAAATGGATGTGGCTTACAGTTTAAAATGCATGAACAGAACCGTGGCGACTACTTTTTGTAGGTTTGAGCCATATCAGTGAGTGTAGAGTGCCTGGTTGGGGTCTAAGCCATTGTCGTAACGATCGTTTAGATATTTTGGGTGTCAAGGTTCGAAGTCGCTCGCAATAGTAGAGTTGCATCCACTTCTCGTCTTTTTCTCGGACCTGAGTCCTGAAATCTCCATGTACCTTTCTTTTTTTACTACTGGTGTTGCTACTACCTTTACTATGTCTTTAATTTTCTTTCTGCGCTAATGTAGCAACGCAACTTAAATAAAAAACATGCATCAGGTTCTACGTTGGGTATGATAATGATTTGCAGGTCTTTCAATATTGTCTTGCTTATTATCGTTCTGACTATTAATAGTAATGTAGTTAAATATTGACTCTTTTACTTATCCAGAGATAAATTAGTTGTGTTAAGGACTGTAACCTGAAGCTAATGATCATGTCCCATCTATCTATGTCTATGGTGGTGTTGGTGCATAAGGCTGTGTTTATGTATCATGTTAGTCCATCGAACATTTGTGAAGAGAGCATTTTTCATAGTACCCAATGGTGAGTTTATGTTCTAAAAAATGCGTAAAATACTTCGAACTTACTCAAATGGATTTATTTGAAGTACATTTTAATACATACAACTAAGTTATGAACTGTCCAAAGCATCAAACAACAGAACCATCGATAAAAAATGTCTTAATTTTTGCACGTTTGGATGTTTAACATTAGTCGTAGAAATGTCTATTGTTTACCTGTTTTGCAATTGAATATCTGGTATCCTGCCTTCGAACTACTTGTTTTTACTACTATTTTCCCATATGCATATTTGACTTGGATTGTTATTTTCACGCTATCTGATTAAAGGTGGATCTGGAATGTTTAGGTCGCTAATTATTCTACTAGCTTATTTGGATCCTGTGGCAAGAGATTAAGATACACTATTGGGAATCACTCACTAACAATTCTGCGTGACTTTCGCTGGATATCAGGATGATCTTAATGAATTACAGCTCGTGTTGGTTTCTGTTTTTTTCTACCTTATAGTTTCACTTCTGGTCAGTAATCTTGCCTCAGCTGCTGAGTAAACGGCAATAATAAGATCAGTGACTTCTTTACGAACCAATTTAATAGCATGGTGGGTTATTAGTTTTTCTCCAACACTAGTTCACATAGTGTGATTGATAAAGGCTAACCATTCATAACAAGTTCCAACCACTTTAGTCGGTGAACGTTTACAGTGGGACTTGCCACCTTCCTTGGCATTCCTCATTAACTTCTACCCGGTTGTCCCATCATACATCTGTAATACTTCACTCTTAAAACATGCGTCATCCACATAAACACAATTCTGGTAACATTATATACCCATGAATTATTACTACTGAGCAGCACTACATTCAAACTTTGATATGCAGTTAAACGTGTCACCTACACTGTAATTGATAATAAGTAAACTAAGTAATATTACGTTTCGTTTCCTCTTTTGCATCTATCAGATTGTCCTCGCTTATATGCAGCTAGCTGTCATTAAAATGTACTACCTACCTTTTTTGTTTCACGTTTTTATCATTAAAACAAATTAACATTCAACTTATAGATTTTGCTTGGTAAATAATACTACTACTTCTCTTCGTGGGTCCCTAGATTCAACGTCATGATTATTTGTATATAAGCGAGCCCATGTAATATATTACATCACTCAAAATGGGAATTTGTTAAAAGTATATCATTTAGGAATAGGACAGTCTATCATCGACCAAGAAGATTTTACACCGTAAATTCATCTTCGTCATCATTAGTTCATTTTTGCATCTAAAGTTTTTAATTAGACTCTATTTTAGTCTTATATAAAACAATAGTTTCTTGATTAATAGTTTTGACTCAGTTAACCTTTGTCGTTCGACCATGTGTATGTTATCTCATGCTTCCACTTCTAGTTATAGCTCAATATTTCATATACATTTGAGTGTTTTCTTGATATTGAGTCTGTATTCAAAGAAATGGATTTTTTTTACAAAAGTAAAGTAGTTGATAAAATAAACATTTCACTTGTGTTCGGTAGGTGTTTTGATTGGGACATAAGGTGATGTTGGCGATGAATTGTGTGTTTGTAAATAAGAATTCTGCACATAAGATTTCACTTTAAAGAAAATCAGATTCATAGAATCTTTCACCAGTATTTTTAGATGAACAGTAAAATGAGTTTCTCGTTAGAAATGCAAAATGAGCTCAATAGATAAGATTAAAATCAGTTGTCACTGGGATTGATTATTCACACTCCTAGCCCATGAGACAAACGATGTTTCAAATGAAAAAGCTCCTTAAGTAATAGAGGTAAGGTTAAAGAAATACACACGAATATGTAAGGTCTTGTAGATGTTAGAAATCACGACAGTAATCTAATGCCAATAATCGTATTGCTCTTACTGGTAGGAAAAGTCGAGAAATTATTGCACACTGTAAACACGAATCAATGTGACGACTAAGTGCTTAATGTGTTGTTTGGTCTTAATTACACCATACTGAAACTTGTGATGGATACTAGTGACTAACCATATTTTATTCAGTGAAGCTTCAAAATGTACAATATTCTTGTTATCGTACACATTATTGTTTACACAATGAAATTCTCAAAATTTAAATAAATTGACTTAAGCTAAAATTCGGTGTTTTTTTGTAGGAAATTCAATGAATATGGGACAAATTTAGAAAGAATAACTAGTGCACCATTTTGGCCTGCTTTAAGTGGAACAGCATCAGGGATAAACCTCAAAACTATTCCTTGTTCAACTGAACGTTATTCCTACAAATTGGAAGGCCAACCCTCAAATTTAAATGTCTTCCAGCCTGATCCAACAAAACGAAGTCATCGAAACCAACCAGCCCCACAATTGTCACGAATATTACGACCTCGGCGATTTGTTTGTCGAAAATGTAAAAAAGCATTCCATTTAGAAGAACATGGTACGGAACTTTCCTCTTCCTTCCTCACTGATCAGATAGATCGTCGCACTTCGGATTCATCTGCCCTAAATTCAGACAAGGAAATAAATCATTATCTTCCTAAAAGCAACTTTTCTGAACAAATTACACTAGCGACACTCAATGGAAATTCTCAGTCTATTCGCCACGTCACTCCACCAATCATCCCCAAACTAAATGAAGAAATGAAGATAAATGTGGATGATTCGTCAAAATCAGAAATTGATTCTAGTTCTGAAATACGCTCAAAATCTAAGAAGCATTTTATTTCTGAACAGTCGACTAAGACTCCAGAATCGTTAGAACCGAAATTAGTCATGTCGAAGAAACGGAAAGTCGATGTTATTCCCGATAAGCAAAAGCTGAAGAAGATTAGACTAAGTTCTCAGAAACTCACTGAACCGATTAATGTTAGTAATACAGTCCTGGTCGCAACACCACCTGTCGTTGATCCGGATTCATCTGACCCTGCAGTACCTTCATCGGAGGAAACCAAAGATTTTCCTACTTCTCCAATCCTAGTCGGTAAGACAGATTCTGTTGATTCTCTTTCGTCTCAGGAACAAACTCGTAAGAATCGAATCAAAGCTCAATACGTATCTGTCACCTCTCCATTTCGTTATCCGTTTGGGAAAAAAACTAGAATCTCTTCCAAACAAGAAATTGGAAATATCAACTCGATTAGTGATAGCAGAATAAAAGTTGAACCAAACGCTACTCGCAAAGGTTCTGAAAAATCAGAAATAATTTCATTAACATCTTCAAAAACGAATCTTGGCGTACGAAAAAACTCTCGATACCGTACTCGTACTCAGCTGAACCCGCTTTCTGTCACTTTGGATTCACTGGGTCCTTCTTGTTCTGTGAAAGATTTAGAAAGTCGTTCAGAAGTGGATGAAATTCTACCTAGTGATTCTCTTGATGGTGATTTTCCACAAAAAGAAAATATCCCAAATAGTATAAGCCCACGCCTGTCAAGCCCATCTAAGGAGAAGCATTCTGCTTCCGTACAGTTAACTTGTAAAACGTCTACGTATGGACACAATTCTGCCTCAAACAATTTTGGGATTTCTATGAGTGAGAGTAATTTCTCTCCACAAAGTCGACGTAAAGCTTTTGATTACGAAAAACCAAAAAACAGATGGATGCGTGAAGCACGAGCTAGAAGGTGTCAAGATGAACGAAACAGTAATCCTAGTTCCACTGCAGCGAGTCATATTTCAACTTCATCCAATAATACAGATACGGAAAACTCTGCATCATGTAATGCACAATCTCCTAGTTTAAACCGACTGCGAATTCGATCAGGTGATGGATCTAGTGTTAGTCCTAGCGAAAATACTTTAAAAAGTAATAGCAATGTATCTTCTAAGGTTAAGTTGCATAATGGGTCGTTAAGCAATCGTAACATTGAATCAGGGGACGCTTCACAGTCCGAGAAATATTTGGACATAACTGACCAAAAGTCTACATCTAATGTGTCTCCATGCTTGACCCCGACAAGTGATAGTTCTAGTCTTGGCCTTCCTGTAATAAAGATTAAAATTAATCGGAATAGACAACCTTCTGGGTGTTCGAAAACTGTACCGACGCAATATGAAGTTGTCAAGTTACAGACTGGTTCACATCTAGAATTAGCTACTTCGGCTTCTAAAGTTGTGAGTGAAGAAAATAGTTCAATAGCGAATGCGAATCCATCTGCATTGAAGTTAGACATTCTTTGCAATGGTTTACGTTCACCGTCACCGTCACCATCCGCCAGTTCTTTAAAGAAGGGATCTACATGCGAGAGTTTAATAATATCAGGTCCTTTAGTAAAACGCTGTAAGTTACATGACGGCATTGTTTTTCGTGTCGGTGACCTAGTTTGGAGCAAACTTTCAGGATGGCCTTACTGGCCTGCACAGATTACTAGCATACAACGTGTAGTTGCCAATGAAGTTGATTTACCGAATTCTGAACAAGTACGCCCCGTCGTGGATTTCCAAGAACAGTCATCTCCACTTTTAACATCAGAGCAAGTTTGTTATACTGCCTGTCTTCATTGGTTTGCTTGGAATCAGGTGTCATACATGCCATGTGATAAATTATTTCATTTCCTAGAACATTGTAAACGATTTGATAACAAAAAGAAACGTGGAGTTTTTCGCCAGGCAGTTAATGAAGCAAAACAAGCGGCAGAAAAAAGGCAAGAAACTCACTCTACTGATAGTGAAAGTGAATGGGATCACGAAGGTTTTAGCAACACAATACATCAACAATCTTTATCTCAGCCATCTGAAATATCTGTTCTCGATGATGCCAAACAGTTGGAGGTTTCACAAACTGCATCATCACTATCCATTCCCGACATAAACCTTGGTGTAGAAGTGAACGCGACCACAAAGCGAAGTAAACATCTAAATAACAAAGTAAGAAAAAACAAAACCAAAGTCTCTTGTGAGAAACAAGAACCTTCGATGTTATGTCCATCAGTTGTTGATTCTTCGAATGTATCCTTAGGTCAAAGTACCTATAATAACATAGGCGGGGAAGTCACTGCGTCTATAGAATCAAACTTACATGTGATATCTAAACGTAAATCAAAGCAGCAGACTAAAAATAAGGTTTATGCTAATACTTCTGAAGATAAAAAGTTGTTGGTAGAAGAGTACAATTCTTCTTTAACAAATAATAAATCTAATGTTCGTTTAAAAATCATTCTTTCGAAACCGAAATTGAGAAGTAAGCTCAAGTGTGCTGAAGTTTTGAGCAATAATGCACAAAATTCTTTTGAAAATGAAGTTAACAATTCTTCTTCATTACCGAATATAGATGTCCCAATTACTAATAACAAAATACATCAAATTGTTGAAAATTCATCAAAAGAAGACACAGAAAGTCCATTTACTTCAGGGATTATTCCTGAATCAAATATATCAACTACCGATTCACAAGACTTTGATAAAACTTTTAGTGCCACACATTCAGAACTCCTAACTCAATTCCCACATGTATTTCCGGATCTCAAAGTTTCAGGTATTCTATCCGACACAGTCGATATACCTACATTTTCTGAGGATGAATCTGAAGAAGAAGATGCTGGTCGTTTGATTATTGATCCTGATGTAATGGCTTCAGTCAACGTTCCCTTATCAACTGGTAATCATCATTACATCACCGAGACTTTAAAACAGGATCCGGATGTTCTTCGAGAAGATTTATACAGTCTTTCCTCCGATAATATGTCCTATAACCATGAACTATCATCTCAAGCATTTGATAGTATTCATCCATACTCTCGAACGTCTTCAACTACTCTTACACAACCGTCGATGTCGAATTTTGGTAATCCAGTTTACTCATCATCCGATTCATTTACTCATTCTTTTAATTCCTCAACATATTCAATGGAATGTCTAATATCTCGACCAGTTTCAGTTTATCCAACACATAATCAGTCATTGATCCAAACTGTTGTGCCAAGATTAACAACTCCACCTATTTTGGCGTCATCTACTGTATCGAACCTATCAGTACCCAGTAGAAGTGCTTATTTTCAATCTAACCATCTTAATGTTCCATCAACTACAACGCATAACGTGTCCTATGTTACTACTGAGTACTCAACATTATAACTGTAAGTTAACTATTTGCTTACTTGCTTGGCACTATTCCATTGACTCCTTATTTTCGTATTTCTGTGCTTGTCAACATCACTACACTTACTTTGTATTCCTAAACAGCTTGAAACTTTTAAGGTTATTATTGACTTTAAGGCGACATTCGATTGACTGATAGGCTTTGCGAAAGTTTTTGTTTTCACAATCTGTACCAAAGAAGTACACAAGCATTGTAAATGTTGTTTGCTCAAATACTGCTACTTGAGTCAAAGCTTGTGAAGATTGTTACCAGATTTTGAAACATCAACTGTTTTTCGTTAGGGCTGCCAACTTTACCCATTTTCACTTTACCTTGTTCTAGTCATTCTTTCAGAGATAACACTCGTCTTACTTTTCAGGAACTGACCTCCTGTCAGGTGATTTTATGGAGATGGTCGAATTGCAGGGTTTTCTGATCACCGTGTATTTTATGACGTGTTTCTTCCTCTTAAAAGGCAAAACATACCTTCATGACTATCTGTGGTAACATCTGAATCGATGGTAAAATTCATGTAGTTGAGTTTGTTGACCTCTTCACTTATCTTGAAAGTCTTGTCAGCCCTTGTGAATTGGTGTTTGATAATATCTTCGCGTGAACTCAGATAGCTGACTTTGACTTTGTAAACTTTCACCAATCATGTCTTACTCGAGATGTCTGTACGCCTATTAAAGGACAATTATGCTGTATAACAGTTCTCTCTATTATACTTTATGACCGTAAAACGCAGTTATCGGAAGTAGAGAATATTTGTAGATCATCACTATAAATCAACTCTGTCCAAATTCTAATATCTGTGCTGGTATTTTATTAAAGCATTGGTTAATATAAATTTGTACCAGTTGAGTCGATTTTGATTAACCAACCATATATATTAGCAAACGTTGTACAGTTTAAATAAATGATTTCGTCGAAAAGAAAATTTTCTTCGTTTTGTAATGTTTTGATAAGGGAATGTTATTTGTAGATAAAAGTCAGATGCTGTTATTTCAATATTCTATGTGTGATACTCAAAAAGAGCTCTAAATTGTAGAATCTCTTTTGTTCGGTATGATCCGTGTTTATATTTTATCAAATTGTTGTCGTGCATTTAAAGTACCATGTATTAAAATTGGTATGATTGAAATTATTCATGTGTGTATCCAATCTTATACTCTTGTCTCATGAGCTACCTTTCCAATTGGGTATGTTTGTAATCTTTTTCTGAAATCTGTCAGTAATTTTATACTGTCAACTCTCAAGTTAATCACGAAATGTGAAGTGATCACACTATCAGTCTATCCAATTACGGTGTTCCTCTCTTTACCCGATACTATGTGTTTGCTGGAATTCCGAATACATTAAGAGCGGAAATATATAACACGAGCTGTTATTTGAAAACAATTTCATGTATAGAATTTATTCCTATTTCCAAATAAGTCACAAATCCCCTATTATTCAACGGTAAAATCTCTAATTAGTACCTGGAACTACTTAACAAGCTTTATGATTTTTTCACCATTTTAGATACATCTCATCAACTGACATCACCCAAAAATTAAAATGGAATCTACGATTCACTTCTAGCTGTTACTTGAAATGATTCAGTACAAATCATTGTAAAATATGGTTGTAATTTTCATCATAGATTTATGTGCTTAACTAGTATTTCCAAATATTATTTCATTTATACTGTATATCTCCCTTCCAAAATCTCTTCAGTATGAGTTAATTATTTTTTCTTTTAACATTTGGATTTAATTAATCCCTCCCTGTGATGATGATCTTGGCGTTTAACATTAGTCAGCACCGATTTTTTTCTCTTACTATTATTTCTTTGGGACAATAAATGAAAACCATTATTAGACTTTCGTCCAGATAACATTTAACAAAAGCATCTGTGAAATGATGATATAATACCTCTTGTTTATTCTTTTGTATATTTTATATATATATTTATCTCAACGCTTCTCCTCTGCTCTTTCTTCCTTGCTTGTGATTTGTGATGTTTCTGAACACCATGTGTACATATATACATATTTATTCAATAGTTAACATTGCTTTAAATTATCTCCTGTTACCGTTATTTTCTAAAATCATTGTAAATTATTAACTTCCTTGCTTAAGGTTCTGGGTGCGTGTGCATAACCCCTTAGGATTCGTGAGTTTACTTAAAATACTGTCTTCCTTTTTGTTTTTCTGTTTTTGACTTTGTCTAATCTCAAATAATTTCCGCGGTTTACACGTAGAATTATGATGGTTGACACTGCTGTTGTTGTACGTATATTTGTCTTATCTTTTCTGTCGTGCGTCATGTCGCTACTAGAGAATAGGTGTATGATGATTTGTCGAATTTCTACACATTTATTTACTATTTTATTAATACTACGGTAAACTATGTAAGAGATGTGGTACAATGTGCATCGATTCAATTTCATACACATTGAAAATAGCCTTTAGAGACTAAGAACTAATTAATGGAAACAATAATTGGAATAAGATAATAGTGAGATAATTACTGTCAATCAGTAGTCGCAAAATTGAATTAATCGTATGTTCAAAATGAGATGATTATTTTTGTTAAAAGACTAAAATTTGATGATGGGGATCTTTAAACGATTATTTTTATTAGCTTCGTGATTCAACGTCAGTTTTAGTTTTACTGGTCTAACTGTTGGCTTCAAAAATGTACATGTGTAATAGTGTACACTTGCGGTTGAAATTAAGATAACTGGTGTAAACTGTCAAGTTGGATTCGTTTCAATAAACAGCCACTTAAGTCCTACTAACAGTGGCATTTTTAGTGGCCCGTGGATCTGACTCCTATCGTATGGATGTTTGCTATCGCCGATTCTCGTTTATCATCGACTTTAATCACGTTAGTCAATAACGGAATCAAATAAGTCAAATAACGAGAATGGGATTTTGAATACATATACTTTGTATATAAGGTGAATGGAATAGCAGGAAGAGAAGCGATGCGGGGTGGAGATCGCTGGTGAGCCAACTCATTTTTACACAGGCGTCAGCCAATATTTATAGGCAGACAAAAATAAGCTACAGACATGGGAGAAGAAGTGTACACACATATACGCTCACATAAAAACAATGAAGACTGGTAAGCGAATAACTAACAAGGTCAACATATGACTCAAGTAGAATGAATGGGTTGGTCTGTCCGAAAACTAGAATAAGGTAAATGGGCTTAAAATAATAACTGATACTACATATTTACATATTCGATCATGCTAAGACTTGATCTGGGTGAATAATGTACCTTAGTCGCTAGTCTCATGTTGATAAATGTCTTAGATATCCATTGTTTTGCGGGTGTTTTTTGTATAATGAAAGATTTCCTCTGGCAACTACTTTTGTGGTGGAATTACAAGTTGCTCGGTAGTACACTTAACTTGCAATTATCGGATTACAGGGTCCGATCCCGCCTAATTTAACTCAGCTAGCCAACAGGGATTGTTAGTCAAAACAAGGTATATCATAGCTTAAAGTCCAGTGTGCGGGCCCGTAACTTATTTTTCAACAGAAATTTCAGATTTTCCTTTAGATAACTAAAAATTTCAGTTAATAAGTGATGAATAGTATGTCGAATTAATAGGTCCATAAGTATATTCGACTAAAAAACATTATAAATTTGTCTTATTACGCATCACTTCATCCTAAGTTTCTTATCGTAATTGTGTTTTTCATTGGCTAAATAATTTTTTAATGTATCTTACTGTTAGCACAGACAATATTTTAATGTCTAATGCATGTTGTAAGCGCTGATGTTCTACAGGTCTCTGCCACATACAGTAGGACTATCTTGACATTTGTTTTGAAAATTCTGACCTTGGTGTTGGTTGACAATTGTTTTGAGTTCCAGATGTTCTTCTCTTGCTTTGCCGATTCGCGCCTTCACATCTACATCAGATCCACCGTCAATGTAAAGGTTTTTACATCTTCCAAAGCTTCTTCGTCAAGTGTGATTCGATTGTTGCATGCTGTGTTGTGTCGGAGAATCTTGCTTTTTCCTTTGTGTATGTTGCGACCTGCTGAGGCTGCTGCTACACTGGTCGTCTTTTCCTGCATTTGTTGTTGCATGTGCGATAGAAGAACCAGATCATCTGCGAAGTCTAGATCGTCCAGCTGCATCCAAGCTGTCTACTATATCCCATGCCTCCCCTCAGATGTTGACATCTTCATGATCCAGTTGGTCACCAGGAGAAAGAAAAAGGGTGAGAGCAAGCAACCTTGCTTAACACCGGCCTTTACCTCGAACGAGTCTGTCAGTTGTCCTCCATGCACGGTTTTACAGTTTAATCCATCATAGGAATTCCGTATGATATTGACTATCTTCTCAGGCACGCCGTAGTATCGAAGAAGCTTCCATAGTGTTGTCCTGTCCATGCTATAAAATGCTTTCCCGTAGTCAATGAAGTTTATGTAGAGTGATGAATTCCACTCAATTGATTGTTCCACAATGATCCACAGTGTTGCGAGTTGGTCTTTACACGACTGATCCTTACGGAATGCGGCCTGTTGGTCTCGAAGTCGGGCGTCTACAGAGTCCTTCATTCTGCTTAACAATACCCTGTTGAAGACTTTTCCTGGTATTGAGAGGAGTGGTGCCCCTGTAGTTATCACAGTTGCTGAGATCGCCTTTCATTGGCATTTTGATCAGGGTTTTTTTTCCGGTTTGTTGGTACCTGTTCTTCATCCCAAGTCTTGCTGAAGAGAATGTGAAGTATCCTTGCATTTACTGTTACATTTGCATTCAGTGCCTCTGCTGGAATGTTGTATGGTCCTGCTACTTTGCCGCTCTTGATTTGTCTGATGGCCATGCTGATCTCTTCAATTGTTGGTGGTCCAACATTGATTGGGAAGTTTGTGTGTGCTTCTTCGATGTTGGTGATTACTTTGCCTTCCTTACTTTTCACTGCTTTACGATAATTTCCAGCGAGTCTCTCTGTTGTGTCATACGATTGTCTCATGTGTCCTTCTCTTGCAGCCTTTTCCACCGTCATTGCTAAATCCTCCACATATTTACGTTTGTCAGTTCTGATGCTCCTCTTCACTCGTTTGTTTACTTTTGTGTATTCAGCTTGTGCCTTAGCTTTTTCTGCTCTTGTTCGTCTGGTATTGATTGCTGCTTTCTTATTTCTCCGTTCTTGAATGTTTTGCAGTGTATCAACAGTGATCCATTCCTTGTAGTGGTGCTTCTTGTGGCCCAGAACCTCATGACATGTTGAAGTTATTGGTTCTTTTATCCCTTTCCAGTTGCTCTCCACAGTAATTCCTTCTCGACTGAGTGAATCACGAAAGGCCTGGAATCCATTGCTGAGGACTATCTTGAATTCGTTGAGTTTGTTAGTATCCCGAAGAAAAGCCGTATTAATCTTTTGTGATGTTGTTTGCCTCGTTGTCCAATGCTTCTTGAGTTTCAATTTCATTTTGGCGACCTGCAAGTGGTGACCTGATTCTATGTCTGCTCCTCTCTTGGTTCTCACCTCTATTGTCCTCCTGAACATTTTATTGATGCAGATATGGTCGATTTGGTTCTGCGTAGTGTGACACGGTGAACTTCATGTGGTTTTGTGTATGTGTTTGTGCGGGAATATAGTGCCGCCTATGATAAGTTTGTTGAAGGCACATAGATTTGCAAATCTCTCAGCATTTGCATTCCTTTCTCTCAATCCATGTCGTCTCATGATGTCTTTATATCCGGTGTTGTCCATTCCATCCTTGGCATTTAGGTCTCCCATTAGAATGGTCAGATCTCTAATATGTATATAATTCGCTTTCGCAATGAATTATGAACGATGGCGAGTCATCGTGTTGTTGAACGAATTCATAATGTAGTTTTTTAAGGGTAAATTTTAGTGTGGCCACTTAATTCTTATTTTACTTAGTTGATGTTCCTATGCGAGCTTATAAATATGACATATGATTACAACAGAATTCAGCTATATTATTAGTTACATTCAACTTGAAGGTGTGTAGTCATTTCCTGTTCAAGTGTTCTTCAGTTTCATTTATTTATTTATCCCTGAATGTTATTGGGTGGTTATCTATATTGTCTTCTTGGTGATATGTATGTTATCAGTTAACAACTTTCCAGTAAGACTAGTTGGCTCACCATTCTTTACGATAACATATGCATTATTGTTTATTCATGATGATAATTTCTACTCTTGGGTTTTTCTCGAAAGTATTTTCCGTTTCATATCGAAGTGAGCAAAAACCTCTGAGTTTAAGATGTTTTGTAAATATCTTTGAATTAGCAATCATAAATTTTTGATGGAAAATTATTGCCTCACAGACACGTGTATCCTTCAGTAACAAATGGTTACGAAATTAGTTATATTATGATTCGATTAATGGAGATCTGGATTTCTTATCTTCCATGTCATATAAAATAGTCTCAATCATGAGTTTGTTTTATGTTTTTAAAACTGCTCTCTAGTCGATAAAAATGTAATTGAATCTATCTTCATGTTGATCTATTGCTACAAATATGTGAATTCCATCGATAACTTCCACAACGATTCTCATCGCTTCAGCAACT